GGAAGAGGTGGTCGACATTTTGGTAATTGGAGACTCTTCCTGCGCCATGGTCGAAGAGCCGAACGACAGATTCCCGACCAAGCACCATGTGGCGGAACTGCTTCAGGCCGAACAGCTGAAGGGGGTCCGCAACATTTACCACGGCATGGACTGGGGAAAAGGGCTTGAAGCTATTTATAGCACCATGGAGGCCAAAGTGCGATTCATCGCCGAGGATAACGCTCAGAAAGGCATCAAACAGCTTCCCATTTCGGTTTACGTGTTGTGGGGAGGAAACGATGTCTTCGGCAACTATGGGTTCCTGGGGTGCAGATGGATCCATGAGAAAAGGTTCAACCGGACGGAGGCGGGCCGGAAGGCCGCGTCAGAGTGGCCGAAGGTTCAGAAGACTCGCGTGTACGAGCAGCTCGACTTCTTCAAGGAGGCGGTTGGGCTCGGACGCATTCGAGACATTACCTTCATCAGCAACCCGGACGCCGAGGACTATGCCCTCACGTCCGATTACAACGAGGCTATGAACGGCTGCCTTCGACACCTTGCAAACGGGGACATCGACGATGGGACCCGCATCAAGGCGATCGACTCGATCGACCCATCGGTTATGACATTGCTAGCGCACAGGTACGATGACGTGCACATGACATACAGCAATGCCAACCGGAAGGTTGTGTCGAAATTCCTTCATGCGGCAATCAACACGCAGCTGTTGGCCCAACGGATCAGGTACGCTCTCCCAGCTATCGGGAGGGTTGAGCCCTATGTGAAAGGTGAACCGGTTGATCCTGTGCTGTTTGGCTGGCCCACATGCTTGAAGCTGGCCAAAGCACTCCACGAGTATGCTGCGATGGAGGAGAGGCCCGACTGGTCTCACGACCAGGAGGGCGACGAGATCGACGCCGACGTGGCCGCCTGGATGAAAGTGGCTGAGGACGAGTCCTACAACGCCATGACCATCGAGATGCGGGGGGCCACGGTCGAGGAATCCGAGATCGTTCTCGAGGCTGTCGACAAGGGAGAAGAGAACTCCGACGACGAGCTAGACCGCGTTGAGATCGCCATGTCCCAGTACATTGACAGCACGGCGGAGAAGCACGGTTTGTCCATTGTGCCCGACGATGAGGACAAGGACAAGTGGCTCTTGCTGGGCGATGACACCCACGACTTTGGATGGGATGCAACGAACCTGCCCCCAGGAGTGCACCGTGCTGCGCCGGAAGGCCAGTCGATCATCATTGCGGAAGGAGACTTGTTCGATCAGGAAACGGTGGTGTCGTTGGAGCTGGCGTCGGAAGCTGATGATTCCGAGGCGGCAGGGATGAGTTCCATGATCACCGCGGAGTCGGTCGCTTTTGAGTCCGTGACGGAGGGCACCAGCACATCCAAGCAACCGCCAACCCCGCCGCCGTCAAGGCGCGGAGCTGCTGCCAAGAGCGCTGTGGGGGAACCCCAGTCGACTGGTTTCATTGAGATTGGAGACGAGTCGGGCCCCACGGCTGCAGGCTCGACCGACAAGCCCCAGGTGAAGGCGATGCCGAGGATTGCAAAGGCCAAGGCGCCGCCAGGCAACGCCGAGGGGGAACCCCGGTCGAAAAAGCAGAAGGACCCTAAGCAAGAGAAGATCTTCTGGGAAGACTGGGCAAAGACCCGGAAGATCAATACCAACGTCCCGGCCGAGGAGCAGAGCGAGTGGCTTGAGGTCGAGGACATGGGGCACGTCCCGAAGGTCAACATGGACCGCGACTACCGACTGGTCGCAATTTCGAAGAAAATGTCCTATTTCCTCCGGGGAGGGGCATTCAAGGACGGCAAGCCCCACCCGCCGTTTCGCGGAGTTGACCTGTCGGTGGAATTCGATGCGCTGGTTAGGCATCTGAATGACCGGATTGCCAATGTCATGCCTTGGGAGGTGATGATCTGCATCCGGAACAATAACACCCGCAGATTCCGCGTGATGGTTGGGCCCCCTCCATTGGGGGAAGCATCCTGGAAAGGATTGCCGTATCAGGCTTTGCGAGTGAGGGCCGTGCAAGGACACCACAACGAGCTCACAAGGAAATACACTGAGCAGGCGATCCTGACAAGTTTGTATTCCTTCGACGAGGAGTTCACCGCGGCGAAATACCTTGACGGTCACTACCCGAGGGCTGTGCGGCATCCGGAACTTACTGACCTGTGGCGCCGAGGCTTTCCGGCAGTCCTTTACCACACCTGCGACCTCAGGTCGGCCGAGAGTATCCTCAAGTTCGGCCTGGTCCCGGGGGGCTATCCGAAGTCGACTGGCAGAGCCCACGTCTACTTCAACCCCACGCCACCCTGGGAGGCGCAGATGAGGAAGCTGGCAGGAACGCGAGCCGGAAGGCCCGTCACGATTGCTTTTGATACTGAGCTCATGATGCAAGACGGCATTCGACTCTTCACGAGCGATGAGGCGTTTATGTCTGCAGATTGGGTTGGAAATGCCTATATTATTTACGCTTTCCATACCCGCAAGAATGAGTTCCTCTACTTCAATCGTGCGTACCCTGAGCTTCGCAAAAGGTATCGCGAGGCGCTGACAACCGAGCTTGCGCCTGGGCCTCAGGACGTCAATCCGAACTTCTTCAGAAGTGAAAACACCCTGACCGCAGAGAAGGCCTGGAGGAATTGGCGGACCGTCGTTGAGGGGACGAAGAACGGCAAATTGCTTCCGGGTGCCGTGACCGAGATTGAGACGGTCGATGAGCTCGCTCCCCGGAAGGGGAAGTCGAATGAGAGACCTGCAGGCCCGACATATCAGGTTGCGCCTGCAACCCTTCGACGGGTGCCCGAGCTCTCCAGGGGAGAGAAAGGGCATGGTCGCGGCTGGAACAACCTCCGGAACCGCTACCAGAGTGAGCCACGTTGGGAGGACCTCCTCTTCACGACCATGATGAAGGTACCGGTCGTGAAATGCTGGAACAGGAGGTGCAACAACCAACAGATCGACGGCTACCTGTTGTGTCAGGAGTGCCGGTCAGACATGGTGTCTTGGACGGACGCACGCATCGCCACTGAGGTGGTGCGCCTCGAGCACACAGCATCCCTCCAGGGCATGGTTTTCTACCTGGAGGATTTGCAAGGTGGCGGAGGGAAGTGGATCCGTTCCAAGCATCACTTCAAGGAAGGCGAGAAGCGGGGAGGAATCTCCGTCGAAGCGTCACTCAGGAAGACGGCCAAAACGCACCTAACCAAGGCGTTGGGGATGGGGTGCGAGAAGGTATCTGACCGGCTCTCGGTCGATCCATTCTACGCATACAACTGCGCCACGCAAGGGCTAACCCCAGAGAGCCTTGACTTCCTTGGCCGGATTGCCCGAGCGGTTGTCGCTGACCCAGGCCGTACCAGGGAGGAACGCGAGCGAGGCGGATCCCAGAACACCGGAACGAAGTTGGTGTTCATCCCCAGCCTCAACAAACGCGATCCCCATGAGTTGAACGTTTCCACGGAGGCTTTCATTGCACACCATGCGAGGTTTTACAGCATCATGCAGTTTGCGGTCATGTGTGCCTATCGCTTCATTCCGGGCAACCAGGTGCCGATTATCATCGGGCACAGCGGTTCATACGTCCCGGAAGGGAACGTCGAAAAGATTGTGGAGGTCATGGTCAGTTTCATTCGGGCCTCCTGGATCAAGTTCGACTCCCAGGGCACCATCAGCACCGGTGAACTCGAAATCCCGCGGTTTTCCTCCGGCCGGACGCGGACCTATCCTGTTGAGGCGAGGAACACCCAATGGAGGGCGATCACCCGGTCCATTCGCCCCGAGCCCTACACCAAAGGAAAGGGCAAAGGCAAGAGCACGGGGCGTCAGGACTGGAGCTCTTGGTACGGGTGGTCCTCTGGATGGCATCAATGGCGTCAGGGCCCGTGGGGATGGTGAGCGCCCGCATCAATTACAAAAGTTTGCTTATGTTGCGGTAACCATTTCAATTTCATTGGTGATGTCATGTTCAAAACTATTATCTTTCATCCATTGATGCCGCAACATTAGCAGTGCCAAGTTTGCACGCCCGGCGGAAGCTGCGGCCGTAGGTCAATCCACGGCCGCCACCACCGGATGTCATTTCAGTATTGCCCAGCGGAAGCTGTGGTCGTGAGATCACCTTCGCTGATGGCAACTGTGTGAATTCAGTTTCAAGCATTCACATGGAAATCACATGTGTTTTGCCCGACGGAAGTCGTGGTCGGCCGATTCGGATGGCACGCTCCTGCAAAAGTCCAAATGCATCGCAGTTGCAGCGACCATTGACGCATGAGGCCTCATATCACCATGGCTTGCCACCTATCCCACTGAGGCTCTACGTCTTCACTGCCTTGACCTCAGAGGACTTTGCTTCAGGCATGGGGGGGAGAAACGTGTACAAAGTACTGTTCTCACCAACGCACCTCTGCAAAGCGGGGGGTGTTGATAGGTAATGGCATACTGACATGACAATGGCTCAAGAAAAACAAGCTGCTGCCCGTGCTGACTTTTAGGTAGATCCCACCTTTCAACAAAACTGTTTTGCCGGGCTCCGAATAAAAGAAATCCATTTTGCCACCATTTGACACATGGATTGCTTTTTCAACACCAAAATAATTTGAAACCACCATTGACAAGTTGCAATGTTCAGGTGTATAATGTAAGGATCCCTGTTTTGCCAACAGAGAAAAGAGAACCTTGGTCTTCCAAGCACCCGAAAAGACAGGCCCCTTCTTGATTTTGCTCTTGACAAATGACCATCAGCCAAAGGACCCTGCTTTTTCAGGGTGTTGGAAGATCAATTGAAGGATCGGAATTTGCCCAAATCCATGTTAATATGTGTGCCATGCTGTTTGGTCGGAGGCGCACAACAAAATGCAGTCATAGGTGTCCTTTTTGGTTGGTTTGTTAAAAAATAGGGGGCCCTGGTTTAGATGGGGTGTATTCCATTTACCAGGGCCAATGTATTTTTCCGAAAGGCCACCTATGAATGCAGTCTTTTTTTGCAGTCTTGGTGCAGGTGATGCGCTTCACAGATGGCTCCCGGATTCGATCCACCGCCGTGTTCGGAGGAGTCAATCGATACTCCCAGGCGGGATGTGGCTGTGGTCAACACCGGTTTGGGATCCCAATGTGGGGTAGGTGAATCCACCACCCATTTTAGAACCTATTTTAGGTGCGCCACCCATTTTAGAACCTATTTCAGTGGTTGGATTGAATCGGATGTGAACACTGGGGGTACGGGGTTTTGAATCGTGGCCATGCGTCAAAATCGGAGTGGTGCTGGGAACAGAGACTGTAAGCAACCCAGGTCACTTCTTAGTTTGCCCGCGCGATCCAATAAAAAACACCTGATTTCAAACGCACGCCCCTTTGCAGGGGAACCATGCGAATGCTGAAGAAATAGTTGTGAAGACATCTTGCAACTTTGAAAGCCACCATGCACAACCCGATGAACCAAAACAAAGTGACCGGCACAGGCTGAAGACTCCATTCCCTATGGGTAGGACCAACAGGAATTGAACCTGCGACCTCCCGGCCCCTTAAGTTAAGGCGGGCGCGTGTTGCCCGGAAAGCCTCAATCGCACACACGTGATCTCGGCGGCCCAATTTGCGGAAAGGGTAAAAGGCCAGTTGGAGAATCCAAACAACTCGTGAGAGTCAGGGCCGAGAGCATCCCAGAAACCATTGGATAGAACCCAATTACCATGCGACATCATCAAAACTCGGGTAGAAGGTCAGTAAGGGGCAGTCCCAGCCAGAAATAGGTGCGGATTTCCCTTCTTAATTTTTAACTTGGTTCTGGGGATCGACCATTCTAGCGGGTTTTGAATATGACTCAAACGTGGATTGGCCGCGGCCAAAAGCCCCACGCTTTTCTCCGCCCGCGGCTGGAAGCTTTCCTTTCAGGCGTCGGACTTGCGGCGGGGAGTGGAGATTCTGATCGCCACGCCCGGTCGCTTGTTGGACTTTCTGGAGGCGCGGGTCGCAAGAAATAGTTCCCCAAAAATAGTTCCCAGAAATAGTTCCCCAGAAATCTTCCCCAGAAATAGTTCCCCTTTTTGTTGTTTTTTGCTTTTTTGGGTTCCCTTTGCTTTCCACTCACCAGGCAAAAAGATGTGTGGTGTGCGCTGGAACCCTCCCTGTCCAAGAAGCTGGGCCATCTTCCAAACGGGGTCTGTGCACTTCCATGTTTGTCGGGGGGGCAAACAAACAGACCATGGCTGCCTAGAGGGAAGCCGAAGGGAGGTTGTGGCTTCTTGTGGATTCCCTTTGTATGTATATAAATGGTACAAAAAGAGCACGCAAAGAGCAGCAGCGGAACCAGCGGTGGAATCGCACTCGCATCCACACCGGTAAGGTTATCGAGGGCCAGTATTAAACAATCTGTGCCGCAAGACACCCTTCGATTCTTTGCATTGGGCCAAGTATTGGGTGGATCTTTTTGGCTAAACCGTTTTGGTTGTGACTGTTTTGGCCATTTGGGGAGTTCTACCTGACTGAATGCTGATGGAGGCTTTTTGACACCTTGCTAAATTTTTGGTAGAACTTTGTTGAGCGCTTCTTTGGGGAGATGGCCAACTGTCGACTGATTTCCGTTTCTTGCCTTCCGTGGCCGGTTTTCGGAACGGCTTTGCTCATAGCAAAGCAGCGCATCCCCAAAGGGACGGGGATGGCCGACCTACGAGACTTTCAAAACTGAGGTGCCCAAATTCGGCCAGTGAAACGAATCTACTTCAAGTTGTTTTTTTCAGGGATGATTTTTCGGATCATTCTTTTCAGGGAAGGCGAGGCATTCATCGTTTCGTAGAACCAGTCAGCTCGAACACGAACAAAACGCGTCCCGGCACTAGGCCTCCTTTTTGTTGAACATTTCCCCTTAGGCACCAATTCAAAGTGAGTCTAGGGTGATGTCCAAGGCGAAGACATGGGTATGTGGCTGTGGGTCAAAATTAAAGAGGAGGGGCAAACCGCAGGTTTTGGTCCATGTTTCCACTTACCCGGGCAAGCAATTTTGGTACCCTTTTTTTGAGCCGCAGCCATGCGTCAAAGTAGGAAAATTTGGACCGAGAGCCCTATGGCAGTCTGGCACCACCAACCTCAAGCGCGTCACCTACTTGAACTTGGACGAGGCGAATGGCCGACTTCCGCGTGAGAGGGAACCGTTTTTTTCTTCTTTTTTCCTGGTGCTTAGCAGGGAATGACCATTCCTGGTGTTGGGAATGAACCTAGGGTTCCCCTTAAAAGAAACCACAAAGTGTTGTTTTCCTTAAAGGGGCTGTTGGGAAAGAAAGGAACCTAGAGTCTTCCTTACAGGAAACTTTTATAGGGGTGATTCCATTCCTCATTCCCTGCATCTCTCGCACCAGCAAGTCGAATCGCTGGCCCGGTCCCCAGCGCGTGTTTGGATGGGAAGGCTTTTCACTAGTCTCACTTGAAATCTTGGGATGAAATGGAACCCGGCGAAAGGCGAAATGAACCCAAAGTGGAACTGCGGGGACGTTGATGCATTTTTGTCGCCCGACTAGCATGGCTTGGCACTTTCCGGAACGCACCATCCAAACTGGTTTGTCTTGAGATCCCCCGGAAACGCTTCTCGGGATCCACTAAAAACCTGCGAGCTGGTCAAGCATTGGATTGGAAGCTGGGCGGCTTCCCACCTATACAAGGAGTTCAACCCCCCAAACCAATCCGAATCACCACCTATTTGGGTGTGGCTCAAAATTAAACAGGAGGGGCACACCGCAGGTTTTGGTCCATGTTTCCACTTCGCAGGGCAAGCCATTTTGGTACCGGTTTTTGAGCCACAGCCATTTTTGAGAGACGAAGAGGCGAGCGCATGCGCAGGCGGACCGAATGCTGGACATGGGTTTCGAGCCTCAAATCCGGAAGGCGGCAGCCTCGAGCTCTCCGTTTTTTGTTTTTGTTTTTTCCTTGGCAAGGCATCCTCTTTTTTCTGTCAGAAAAAGAAAACACGATTACCCTCCCACCAAGGAACACGGGTTTGCCAACGCAAATTCTTGGGACTTCAAGAAGCCTTTGGTTTCCTCTTGGTGTTCTTTTTGCAAAAAGAAACATCAACACCAGGGGGCTTCCCGAGGTTCCGTTCGGCAAGGAGCCAGAGAGTTGCCGTCGGCCGAGGTCGTATCGCAGATCCGGCCGGACAGGCAAACCTTGATGTGGCTCCGCCCCCGGAAGACACTTGAGCACCACTGGGCTATTTGAGCAGGTTCTACTACATCCTGGTGTGAAGATGGCATGCTTGTTGTTTGGACACATTTTGCCAATTTTTGCGGTTTAGTGGTTGAAATCCAACCGCTTAACAGCTAAAATTTGGATTTTTTTGCGCCCCTTCCGACGTCAACCAAGATTGTAAGCCGATATATAATTTTTTATTGCCATGTTGGAACCAACAAGTCGATGGGGTTTGGGCGCTGCTCGCTGGAGGGAAAGCTCGCTGTTCCCGACCCGTAATCTGTTCGTTTTGATTCATAGGGGTCCCTTTCGTTTGGACCAGATGCAAATGGCAAAGGATACTAACATAAAATCGGGGTCTGGAAAAATTGAGCCTGCTCGCTTGAATGAGCATGTCGAGCGAGTGTGTCACGCTTGCTTTGCAGTCTGCTTGACTTAGCTTGCAAGAAAGGTCGGCGACGTGGCCCAAAGAGATTCAACGACTGGCACGCGACTTCTGCCGCGAGGAGTGGGAACGGAGTCGAACTCTCAACATTGGCAGTGTCTTTTTTGAGGTTTGAAGGGTTTCAACCCAAGCCGGGAAACAAAACACATTTTGAGGTTCCGTTCCTTTCAGTGATTCAGACACCTACATTCGTGACTGCAAGCAGAGGGCCACCGCTCTTGTGACAGGACCCCGTGAAGCTGACGATCGGTTCCGAGGAGAGAAAGACTTGTGACGCCTTGTGACAAGGCGTGCGCTCAAAAAAAGATCGCTCGCCGTGCAGGAGCTCTCCTTGAACCCAAAGATTACGCAACAAATCGAGGCAGGAGCTTTTTTGACTTGCTTTTGACTCGAGAGAGTCTCTTTTGCATGTGGAGATCTTTTGACTTGAGAGTCTTTTTCTGCACGCGCCCATGGAGTCTTTTGTTTGCACGCGTCCATGTTTCTTCCTGAGGTGGTTTCGGAGTACGAGAAGCGGGACAGGTTCATGAACTGGATCAAGAGCGCCGCGCCCAGGGGGCGCTCGTCGCGGGCCTTCAGTGACGCTCGCCGGTCGCGGGTCGGACGTATCCGGGCGGCTCGGTATCGGGCCACGTGTCGCGTGGAGGGCAATGAATTTCTCAGCTGAGCCGCTTTTTTGAAACGGAGGGTAATTGGAGGGTGAGGGACGCCTTTTTACACCTCTTGAAGCATGGTTCTGGGTCCATTTTGGTACCGAATCGGTTTTGAGCAGGTGACTCGGTTGGCGCTTTTTCAGTTTACTGAACAGTTCCCAGGTTCCCTGGAAGATGGTGTCAACCCTTGTTCGGGTGGGCTGGGCTGGGGTGGGGGACTGAAGAACAAGTTGGGGTCAGTGGCCCAAATTGCGTTGGGTGTGGGTCAAAAATGGGTACCCAAAATGGAACCCTAGTAAATGGAACCCATGACTAAAGCAGGCGGTCCCCTGGTGGTTTAATTTTGACCCACGCCCAGTTGTGTTTCACATGTGCAGATGCGACGTCGGATGAGCAGAAGGTCTTGGTCTTCACAGAGCGCCACTGGCATTTGTGATGTGCTTTGCGGTTGATGATCAGTATTCCATTTGGGGTGCCCAAATGACCATAGGTAGCTTTTCCCATTTGGTGGGAAAGATCATCTTTTTAGTGGTTTCCCCCAATGGTCATCCCATACAAAGGACCTTTTGATGAGCCCCCACATGTGCGATCAAAATTATGAAGATTCGCCCGAGAGGGCATCGGACAAGCGGGTTTTGTGGGTTGCGTGGGCAACTTCGCGAGTTCCGCCCTCACATTGCCATTCTGGCAAACGACGCCATTTTGGGCACGTGCGTTTCGAAGCCTGCAAGAAGAGAGCTCTGAAGCAAGCCAGCTCCCCTTGAGAGATGTGATTCATACAGTTCAGACAACATGTTTGATATGGGCCTCACGAGAAAAACTTGCAGCTCTGAGTCGCAATGCGACTGGGGACTGGGAACTTCAAATAGAACAAGCGCAGCCGAATCGCGGCCGTCCGGGTTTGCGAGGCCGTGTCAAGCCATGCATGCAGGATGTCATAGGTATCCTGTTTAGGTCAGTCTGGTGGAGAAGAGAGGTCGAGTGGTTGCAGCCTCTGTCTAATCCTCCAGTGTCTTTTTTGCAGGTATCCCCGTTTGGGGTGGTGTTAAAGGGAAGTTTGTGGCTCCCCACAAGTTTTATAGTTCTATCCGCACTTGCCAGGACCAAGCGTGGTGCGGACTCGCTTTGTCGCGAGCTTCAGTGCCCGTCTGGGATGTGGTTTCTTGAGAATGAGATCAGGGGCTTTCGCAAGGATTTCCATGAAGCAGGCCAAAGAAACCACCCTTTACAAACTAAATGGAGAATGGCGAAGGCATACCTACTATAGTGGCCTGTGGTAACTGGGATCCACTGGCCCCATTTCGGGTATTGGAGAGGCCCGGTAATTGGGTCACTCGCATGTTTCGCCCGGATCAAGCATGGCTCATTTGAAGAACCAAGCCCAGGTTGCCCTTAAAGGGAAAACCAAAGGAGGCTCCTTGAACAACTGTGGTTTAACCATATGTATCAGGCGACCCGAAGGTTCCAATAAGCAGGTTTCCGATCGCTTTCACAGGACATTCATGCGCGTCGCATCCGAAAGGAACCCATTTCTTAGAACCCGTTCAACGGGTCACCCAACTAAAGGGACGCCAACAACGCCTGTTTAAAGAAGTCGCCCGGCCTTGGCCTCGAGGCAAATGCGGCGCTGATGTTTTTTGCCAGACGTGTCAAAATAGATAGAAATCCGGACCACAGATGGTGGATGTCCTTTAGTTTTTAAACCAGCTTTACAAAGGGTACTCTCCCCCACACGATGCGAGCTGGCGGTCACAGGGTTTTGGACGACCTGTGTTTTGCAGAACCGCTCTGTCCACTGCCAGTTGGCAAGAGGGTACCCTCGAAAGACACGGCATACCCGGCCTTGCAGCGGTTTCACTCAGTGGAGTCCTACGAATTACGGATCAGGATCGGGGATCCCCTCCTTTGAATACCCTAACAAACAAACATGCACATGGGACATGAAGGTGTGGCCTTGCATGACTGAGAAGACTTACAGGTTGATTCTGTGGATGGACAAACTCCTGCACCAGTAGTGATAAACAAAACCCTGTGAATGGAGAAAATCAAAGGGGTTGAGAGTCCCAGTGCCAACTTTTGACCAAGCACCGCCCCAGAGAGTGTGCATCCGAATCATCCCTCGCACAAGGACACCGGACAACAAGAGCCTTTCATTTTCAGCTCGGCCCTGCAAGAATGGGGCACCGACCGGTTTTGGGGTCTCCTGTTTTGCCCCAACAGCCTGCAAGCTTTGGGTCAGCTTCTTCTCTGGTGGCTTGGGGGTAGTTCTTCCCCCCACTTGGTTTGGCTTGGTGGTTTGGTGGTCGTTTCCCACTTACCCTCTAGAGCCAGGGACCCCTTCAAATCCCCCATTCCCACCTAAGCCAAACCACCAAGTGGTGGGAGATTGGCTCGACGCCCTTGCGATCCGTGGAGGTACCAAAGCCTTCCGGCGGCTGCGATCCATGGTGACAAGGCGCCAAGTAAGCACACCAGAACCGATTCGGCCAAGGGCGCTAAGCGTTAAAGGCTATGGCTGTGAAGTGTTTTTTCTCTTTTTCTTCTCTTTGAAATAAGGAGCCACCTCAAAAGTGGTTGGCGGACATGAATCCCCAAATGCTTACTAAAGGGTTCCTACTGAAAAAAGGACATATGAGCCTTGGAACCATGCCACATCCCTTCAACGACCCCCAGACCGGCTCTAGAAATCGAAGTGGGTTAAGCTTATGGGAAGCCAGCCGGAAGCTCCGGAAGCTTGGCACGTGGCAAAAGGATGCTTTGACTGATTGACTTGCATAGGATATTTATCTAACGACCATCAACACACTTCCATTGCAAAAGCAGGAAGACATAGATGGATGGGGAAAATACCTACAGAAAGAGGAGTAGCTATGAACCCAATACAGGCATCGCTTGACTTTCGGCTGCACTCTGAGGGTTTCTTTTGTCTTTGCGGCTTGCCAAGTGCACTGAGGGCGCGGCGCTTTGGGTGAGGGGAGGGGGAAAAGTCTGAGGGTTTCCTAAGATGGGGCTTTTCTCTTGGCCTCCTCAATTCGTGGCGCAAGGAGCAGAGGCAACGTGACAAGACCTTGTTCGACTTCCGGTCAGGACGTTTTTGCCTCGGGACTCGGGTGGGGTCGAGTCTTGCGTCGAGTCGTGCGAGACATCGGCTGGGGATTGAGTTCTCTTCGTTCCCAGCCATTTTTTTGTTCCTTAGGCTTTTAGGTTCTTAGTTGGTTTACCACACAACCACAAGTTGTTCACTTCTAGGGGCTCCTTAAAAGATACACCTGCTTCTAGGGGTTCTGGAAACGGACCCATCGACCTGGAAGGATTGAAAAGAGATCTGAAGCCAAAAGCTTCGGATTGGATTCGGCCGAGGTTGCAATGTCCTGATTGCCACCGACGTGGCACAAAGAGGTTTGGACATCAAGGACGTCGCCTATGTGGTGAACTACGCGTGTTGCTCAGGCAAACCTTCCGAGAGCCCAGACGAACGTCCCAGTCCGAAGGCCGATTTCATGGGGCTGAGGTCCATTCGGGTTTTTTTATTCCTGCCGCGCATGTCCAGCGGGAACCGCCTGCGGAGAACCGACTTACGGAGAATTGGCCGATTCATCAACAGGGCTCCTTGAAAGATACAAATTGTGTTTTTTGAAACATGGCTTTGTCCACCAAGATCAAGGGACACCGCCATTTACAAGGCAATGTTCAGGTGTTGTCATGTAAGGATCCCTGATCAAGAACCGGGCGGTTTCCAGTCCTGATTCTTCCAACGGCTTACGACGCGCTCTGAGGATGTTCCGAAAACGCTGGAGGATTATATTCACCGCATCGGGAGAACGGCGCGCGGGCGGCTCAAAACTCGTCGCATGTTGCCTCAGAGGTTGGTCTCAAGAAAGGGCGTGTCTTGTTTTAGGAGACCCCTCCCCCCCAAAAAAATAGGAAAACAAGAAGCAAAACCAAAGATTGTGGTTTTCCTGGTGGTTTTCCTTTCAAGACAATCAAGAAGGGGGCACCACCGAATGTTGAACCCCGCGGGGGGGGGGTTCCTTTTATTTTTCAACCTTCCAAGTCTGGTGCAAACACATTGTCTGCCAAGCGAGACGTCGCTTTGCTTGAAGGCTGCTTTCGCCGCTTGGCTTTTCTCCGAGCTTGCTGTTGGTTGCTAAGGGCCGGGGTACTTGTTTGAGTTTTTTTTTTTAGGAAGCCGTTTTCGGGACCTGCCGGAATTCCTGGGGATCGGCCGTTTTTTTTTTGTTGAAATAAAGCACGGCCTCTGGAGGTGGGGGTGCCACGGGCACGGCGGTCACCTTCTTCCCGGCGGACGCCTATACCCCGGACTTGATTCGGATGGCTCGGGCCATCGGCAAGGCGCGTTTGGATCGATCGCGTGGCGTTTTTGGGTTCGGGGGCGATGGGGCGGGGCTGGATGCGGCGGCGTTTCTGTGAGGGTATCTCCTTTGGGGGGTTGGTTTGAAGGGACACAAGTTTTTTTTTGGGTCCCCCCAGAAGTAGAAAACCCTAGAGGCAAGAAAGTGCGCGAAGCTCGCATAGGGGCTTGCCTGGAAACACTGGCTCGGTATGGTTGGGTACGGCCCGGGGAAACAGGCTTTTTTTGTTTTGTTTGTTTGTCCTGGTTTCTCAATTCTCATGGTAGGGGGCCGCTCGGAAGTTAGCATCGGGTTTTGGATTTCAGTTTGTCAGCATCATCAAGTTGATCGGCTTTTCGTCAGGGCCAGTTATTGGTATTTGGTTCACAGCACTTGGAGTAAGTACAATGGCTTTCAACTTAAATGGTTTAGACTTCAACCAATCCATCCTAGATTCCAGTGGCCATCTAATCTTAAGTTGGGCAGATATTGTTAATCGCGCTGATCTAGGAATGGAAGTCATGCATGAAAGTCTCTTTTTCTCTTTTTCACAAGCAACAGATTCCTCTTTTCTAGAAGCATGGTGCAAAGCACCATGCGATACATTTAAGCACACAATTTAAAAAGAGGCTGGTCTTGTGAGAAATGCTTACAAGGTATATCTGGACCTCTATAAATAAAATGCAAGCTTATGTGTTACTCAATTTTATGTTGGAGCAGAGCTCCAATTATTATTTTGCATTGATAAATAGCTGCAACATTTAGGTTGGAGCTGTGCTCCAAACATTTGTGTGTTCGAGTGGCAATAGCTGCATCACTTTTCATAAGCATGCGAAGCAAGTGGATCGACATAGTCAAGCAAAGATGGCCTGTCGGTTTGCTTCTCCCTGATTTCCCCACCAAGTTCTTTCAGCTCATGCTTATGGCGGATTGAGGACCCTGCAAATCAAAGGGAATTCACAAGAGGTCATTTCCCTGCAAGGGGAGTAACCCTTGATCGGTATGCCCAGATTGATGCGACGTCACTGAACACATCTGGGATTTCCGCTTTTAGTTTGCCCCCTGCCCCCCTTCCCCACCTGTGTTGGTTCTGCTCGGCCGGTGGAATCACTGGTTTCAGGGTTCTACTTTTTGACTATTCCAGGGTAGACTTAAACCCAGGGGTTGCCCCCCAAAAGCACCCCCCCCAACCCCCCAACCCCCCAACCCCCCAACCCCCCAACCCCCCAACCCCCCAACCCCCCAACCCCCCAACCCCCCAACCCCCCAACCCCCCAACCCCCCAACCCCCCAACCCCCCAACCCCCCAACCCCCCAACCCCCCAACCCCCCAACCCCCCCCCCCCCAACCCCCCAACCCCCCAACCCCCCAACCCCCCAACCCCCCAACCCCCCAACCCCCCAACCCCCCAACCCCCCAACCCCCCCCCCAACCCCCAACCCCCCAACCCCCCCAACCCCCCAACCCCCCAACCCCCCAACCCCCCAACCCCCCAACCCCCAACCCCCCAACCCCCCAACCCCCCCCCAACCCCTGGGTACAAGTCTGGGGTAGAGTGGAGCCCTGATTGTTTTCGCTTCGCCCGTCGCCCGTTTTTCCTCCTTTTGACTCCGTATCCCGTTTCGACATCGCCTGGCGCTCCAGGCGATGAAGGATGTGGGGCAAGGGCCTCGGCAAAAAGAGAGAGGTCCCGCAAAACAGTGCGTGGCCGTTTTCTGGGGTTTTGTGGGTGTGGGTCATGCTGGGGTCATTATTTTGGTTCTGGGTCATTATTTTGGGGGTTATTTTAGGGTGTCCTTTTTCTGGTTTCTAGGGGTTATCAAAGTCAGAAAACGGATTCGGTTGTTTCCCTTTAACCCATCACTGAACGGGGGTGACTTTGATCATGGTGACATAATGAGGCCAGTTTTTCCCCCGTTGCTGGAGGGGGGAATCTTTGAACAGTGGGGAAAGGACATCGCCATGGTGCAATGGGATTCCTTTGCGAATTCGTCCGTTCGTCAGTGTCCTTGTTCACTTCAGTAAAGCCATGTTTGAAAGGATATGCTTCACTCATTTGACACGTCCTGGGTTTTGAAACCCTGGCGAACGAGCTGGGTGTGTCTTTTTGTCGCTCCGCGCCCTTCGCGTTTACAGTTTTTCTGGAAGGAGCCTAGGCAGGTTCCAAACAGATGAAAGACCAGGTTCCATTCAGCTTGACATACTGTGGATGGACGCTATTCAGCACCATACCCATGGTCTCAACGTGGTGCGAAATGGATTTCGTCCGTCCACAGTACGGTTTTGACGTCAGGGCCAAATGGCCATGGTTCAAAACCAATGGTGCCATTTTGGGATAGGTGAATTCACCACCCACTATTTTAGTGGTTGAATTGAATCGGAGGTGAACACTGGGGGGTTTTGACGTAAGAGATCTGCAGGCAGAAGCCTCCTCAAGAGCTGCTGGACTTGGGCGGAGGTGCGGATCGATCCGAGGGCTGAAACGTTTTTGCATTTTACCTGGGACATTTTACATTTTATCTTATTTACATTTTTCCTGGGACTCAAAGTGAAGCAAACAATAAAATATACATTCTATAAGTGGGCCTAACTCTAATCATGTTTTTTTTTGAACATAGCCCTGTGGGCTGATAGGTGAGTTTCCTCGGGTGACCTGTCACACATATTCCGCGTCGACTGGGGGCCCTTTTTGGCTTCTGCCGAATGCGTTGAGTCGAACATTTCGGTTAAACTTCACCGAATCTGGGCGCAGAACTGCCATGCAGACCCCGTTTTTTTTGGCAGAACTGGTCGCCCTCTCCCCCCCCTCTCCCCCCCCTTCCCCCCCCCTTCCCCCCCGCCTTCCCCCCCCCTTCCTCCCCCCCCTTCCCCCCCCCCTTCCCCCCAAACGGCTGCTTTTTTTTGGTTGCTTCGCCGGGGAGATGGATGACTTACCCCGAGCTCGACGAGATGGCAGGGCCTGGCCCGGGCCGGCGCTGAAGCTCATCTTGGGCCGCAACGCCGCGAGAGCAGGGCATTTGCCGAGGGAGTTGCGGATTCGTTGGATTAGAGCTTAATTTAAATCACCTTTTTTTTTTTTTTTTTTTTTTTTCGTAGGTGTGTGTGTGTGTGTGTGTGTGTGTGTGTGTGTGTGTGTGTGTGTGTGTGTGTGTGTGTGTGTGTGTGTGTGTGTATGGGTTTGGTGGGAATCATCACTTTATGGGGTCAGCAAAAACCAAGAATGTTTGGAAGCCGCAACTTCTGAGCATGAGTAGTAATGTCCCGGCTCTCCGTGCGCGTGATTTTGACTCGGGAGAAAAACCGTAGGATTGCTCTGCCGCACTGCCATGCTAGCTGGCGATGGCCGGCTGTGAGGTGGATATGCCCTTCTCAGGCAGTGCTTGGCACAATTTTGGGGAAAAGTGCCGTGGTGGCACATCAGCCTGTGAGCCCAGTTCTTTGTTTTGCATGATTCCTGGACTTTGGACGGTTCTGGCAATCTTTCCGTGCTCTTGCTCAAGTTTTGCGTTCCCGGCTGGAATTCAAGCTGCCAGCACGCGGCTTTCAGCGAAAGAGAAAAGACATTGCCGGGTTTATATTGTGGGGTGTGCAAATGCGTCGCGGTCAAAACCCACCTTTACTTGGGGTTGGTAGGGACAGTCATCAACCGCCAAGAATAGTTTTTTTGGGAAACAATTGTAAAGCTTCGTGTTGGAGCCACGTATCAACACACCCATCCTACCAATGGGGGGGGGTGTCATCCACAAATAGAAGAATTTCCACTCATAGGACACCCCATGAATCGACATTCAAGGGGACGCTGGCCATGATGGCGAGAGTTTGACCATGTGTAAATCTGTCCGCGCGTGAATCGGTGCTCCGCGCAGTTGTGATATCAGAAGGAACATGTCATGGCAATCCGATGACTTCGATCGAAATTGCCTTTTCACCAAGAATCAGCCTTGGAGATTGCTAAAGACTCAGACTCAGACCAATGCGGCCCATGTGAAGCTCATCAAAATGGACTGCATCGAATTTGTAGAGGCAGCAACACACGCACTCCGCAAGTGGGCCTCGCCCTGGTTCTGTCTCAGACTCAGAGCGCGCACCCATGGATGGTGCTCACGGGGGTTGATGGGGGAAAGTGACCATATACGTGACATGTGTCAATCCCACTTCTTTTGGAAGAGATACTCATGGCCCAACTGGGCCAGTGAGACCAACTGAGGTAAGCCGCCATGCCGTCAAACTGGCCAGCTTGTGGCTTGGAATCTTGGTTGATGGACCCCTCCCCCAAACAAAAACTACACTACACCAGCATAGACCCAATAGCTAAAAACTGCACCAGCACCAGCACCCCACACTGCATGCCCCCTAGCCCTACCGTCAATCTCGCAAAAACGCGCCTGCGCCGTCACTGGCACACAACACCCCCCAAACAGCACCCGGCCGCCAATCCCGCAAAAATGTGCTCGCAGCGTTATCAGCAAACAGCACACCAAAGCACACTTGCACCCGCACCCCAAGCTGCATGCCCCCTAGCACCCAGCCATCAATCTCGCAAGTCACTGTCCGCTCTTTACTAGAAGTTAGAACCCCTATGGCATTCAGCCATTTGGCAAAACAAATAAGTATATAATAAGTGGTTTCCCTTTGGTATCCCTTGAAGCCAGCCCAAAAGGATACCCTCAACCAAAGACACGCCATGAAACGGGCAGGTGGACCGCTAAGAACCTTCCAGTACAGAGCGCTCGACGGCTCGCCGTGTGGTCGACTCTATGGCAGGAAGCTCGCGGTTCTGAATGAGGCCGACGAGGAAATTCCGGCAGCTCGCGCAGCAAAGGGAGGGTTTCTCAGAGTGTGCCCCAAAACACACTGTGGATGGACGAAATGCGTTCGCACCACTTTGAGACCACGGAGAACCACTGTTTGCTTGGTATTTACGAGGGAATCTTCAATCCAGGCTTTCTTAGGTGGATTTCGTCCACAGTAGTTATAAACCTAGAGTTGGTTGGAACCCATGTAAAGAACACAAGAGCAAGCTCGTGTTTTGCAGAGCTGAGCTAATTCCTGGGATCAAAGAGATACATTTGTGGGTATCTTTTTGGTTTGAAAAATGCCAAAAGGTGGTCCACCAGAGGGGCCGAAAAAAGCTCCGCATCTGCTGATTTTCGGAGCGTGGACATCGCCGAGAGGGGAAAACTAAGCCCTGCGTGAAGTCCTTGCGAGTAACCAAGTGGATTTGTGTCTTCGCGGTGTCAGGGCTATTTTTCAGTGTAAGGAAAGCCACGACTTTTCTTTCCCAGCGAATCGTCGGGTTCCTTCCTTTTTTTTAAAGTTGGTTTAGTGGTCGGGTGGTCCATTTTAGTCCAGCTGTTACCAAAAAAAAACAATCTGAGAACGGAGAGCCCAGTTTTTGCAGTTTCCCCGTGCGGAAGGCTCCCTCGAGACGTTTCTTTCCTTCGGATCTCCTGCCTCCGAGGAAGGAGCCAACTCCGCAGAGGTGGTGGTAGGCGGCTGGGTGGGGAATTCCGTCGCTGGTTTCTGCGGAGCCCAGGCCTTTCCGTCAAACTTAGGGGGGGAGACTTTGCTCGGCGCCGCTTTTGCAAGAACGGGTCGGGTGCTTGCGCGCCCGCACAGGTTTTCCGAGCCGCTTGCGGGATGTCCGCTCGCCTGCACTCTGCGCAGACGTTTCGCGCGAGGAATTGCGGACATGATCGGCATAGATATCGTGAATGAGCCACAGCAAGCACCTGAGAGGAATTTACCGTTGAGCGCCCAAACCCCCCTCGCGCCATTTGGGTGGGTGGTTCTGGCCTTACGAAACCAAGATAGTTGTACAGCCAGTGTCAACCTTTAGCATCTCGGTAGAACCAACAGTTGATGGTTTTGGGCGCTGCTCGGTTGAGGGCATGCTGTTTAGAGTTGGCAAGCGTCACTCTGAGGTTTCTTTGGATTGCAGAAGAAGCCTCGAGAGCTCACATCCCACCGGATTGGAAGGAGAGCTCAGATCTCGTGTCCTTGTTTGTTTCTTGCTGCGCGCCGAAAATTATCTTTTCTTCAGGAGCTCACAAACGAAGACGGCGAGGTGTCAGGGGCTCAACACTGGCAGCCCAAGAAGGGCACCCACCCTGGCATTTCACGCGGCGGTGAGATTGGGTGTGAACCTTAAGCATGGGGCGCTTTTCTACCCTGGCGATTTGGGTGAGTCTTGTTTTGAGGCCTCGGTGCCAACCTGTTTGGTTGTTTTTTTTGCCAACCTTTTTGGTTGGTTTTTTGGTTAAGCCAACAGGAACCCGTTGCCATTTGTTGAGGTCTAAGAGAGACGCCCATTCGGCAAACCGCTTTGCGAGTCTTTAGCCTTCGAGGCTTTACTACCACACACAGGAGAGAAAGCTTCAGAAGGCCGGGATCTCGTCTTTGCCGGGCCGTTTTTTTTGACAGAAGCCGCGGGAGAACTGCCGCGCACCATTTTGCCACTTTTCGGGGTGTGGCAAAATAGGGGTTTTCCCTTTTGATTCCCTTTAAACCAAGCCACCTTTAAACCAAGCCAAAAGGGCAACCAAGTGACAGTGTTTTTGGGAGGGTTTTGGGTCGACTAAACCCAAGGGGGACTAAAAAACACGGGCAACATGCACCGGGATACGGGAATTTGGCTCCTAGCCGAGGTCCACCCTCTGATCCTGCGCTACCAGGAGGCTTGGATTGGGCTCAGGAAAGAAATGCCGGGCTCCCCCAACTTTGGAACATCTCTGGATGGCGAAAGTGACACCCTACGAAAGCAATACTGAGACAAACTATTTACTAACCACAGTATGACCTACAAGGGGCGGTTCCCCTTTTGGTCAGCTGTTCACATGATACATTACATTTCATGTAGGTGCCATGTAGTGGTGATGTTTTCTTGGTAGTGGCTACTTTTTTTGTTTCCGTTGATGGGGGTTTCTCGTTCTCATGGTGCACTTCCTTTGGTTGAAAAATGAACCAAATCGTGGACCCCCTTGGGTGGCTTCATCGTGGACCCCCTCGTTGGGGTGGTTTTAACGGGAGGCCAACAGGACACCAGCCCGTTGTGGGGCTTTGTGTCGGGAATTTTGCCAGGCTGTGGCTTACAAAACCGGAATTTCAAAATGGCTTGCCCTGGCAAGTGGAACATGGGCCAAAACCTGCGGTTTGCCCCTCCGATCGTTTAATTTTGAGCCACAGGTGTACTTCAAAGCGCGAAGCTACACGAAGCAGCTGGAGAGTGTCTGCCCCAGAGCGGGGGCTCGTCAAACGCACCAAGCTTGGCTTCCCCAGTCTGCTTTAGGAACTTGAAGCACGCGGGTCTTGTGGGTTCTGGTGTTGGAACTAATGGTGTAGCCATTGTTTAAATAACCCGATGGTTTTCCTTTTGCCCAGGGTCTAGTTGTTTTGCCGGGACGGTCAGAGGGAGCAACTTGCTTGCGAAAGGTGGCCAGATTGGAAACTTGCTGGAGCAGACCGACGCGAAGATGGCAGCAGGGACCCTAGGATGACCAGATCAAGTGCGTGGATTCTGAATGCATCCAGAAGAAATGCATGCTTTTTAGTCGTCCTCTCTCTTTCTCTCTTATTTATGTATATAAACATATTTTATGTACACATATATATATATATGACAAATACTGTGTATATATATATACACATATATATATATATGCTCCAGGTCTGCAGGCCCCCCTCCTCAACTTGGTTGGTTTAAGATTGGTTGGTCTAGGGTTCGGGTTGGCGGGCTGGTTTAGGGTTGGTCTATGGCTGGTGTAGGTCGGTTCAGGCGGTAAACGGCTTGGTTTAGGATTCGGGTTTAGGCTGGTTTAGATGAAGTTCGGGTGTGCAGAGTTGGCGGTGAGTTTAGGGTTTATTGAAGGTGGCTGGTGCAGAAGTGAAGGCTGGTGCAGCTGGGTAAGCAGTTGGTTGTGTGCTTAGTTTAGGTTTGGCTCTTTGTGGGTTGCTGGGAGTGTGGGGCCCGGGCTTAGGATTCGGGGGGTTTTGGGGGTTTTGCCGCAAGGGGATCGGGGGATCTGCACCACATGCCGGGTAAAAGGAGGGGGGCGAGCAGAGGCTTGCGGCCAGCGGACCTGGAACTGAAATGTCTATGCTGTATATATATATAGATATATACACAAAGAATGGGGAGGTCCCTTTTCGGCTGGACACCCAAAAGGAAGCAAGCTCAAGAATAATATTTTAAGAATGTTTGGTCACTATTTCATATCTACATGTATTCTGGGCCAATCACAACGAGCCCCCACTTGATCGGTGATGAATCCCCGTGTCCAGATGTCTGACCATACCGCGATGCCCTGAGGCGATCACTGCTTCGGTCATGGGTCGAGCGCTGGAACCTAAGCAGGTCCCGTAGCGGACCACTTCCCTGTTTCCGGCAAACAACTCGCTTTTGCCGGCTGATGCAGAGGCCCGGCGGAGAAAGCAGGTGAGCCACTTGCTCAAAACCCGGGCAGATGAAGGTTAGTGCGGGGCAGTAGCCGGAAATAGTTGCGGATTTCCTTGAAGCATGGTTCTGGGTTCGCCATGTTTGTACCGATCGGTTTTGATTGTGATTCAGGTGGTCTTTGGATGTATCCTTTAAGGATGCCTGGCGAGCGGCACACCCGAAGCCCACTCAACTTGGCCGTTTGGAGTGAGGCTGATGAAACGTGACACATGGGGCTGGAACCCAAAGCCACTGAGTTTTGGGCACTGCTCATGTGAGCAACTGACAATCTCATTGGTAGTGTCAACCGTTGAGGAAGACATGAGGGGATCGCCGCATTTCTCAGGGGGGGGGGGGGAAACCAAAAAAAAACACCAGGAGGCCCGGGTTCATTTCCCCATGTCCATTTGAAAGATCTGGGTTTGGGTGAAAATGAAACCACTAGGGGACCGCAGGTTTTAGTCCATATTTCCATTTATCAGGTTTCCCTGTTAGATACCCATTTTTGACCCACAGCTATCTGGCGCTCCTTCTGAGGGACCATGGGACCCACAGGATGGCACGTGTGTCCAGAGGCCTAGTGGATCAGGCGGTTTCACAAGAAATAGCCAGGGCAACTCTGGATGTTCGCCCAGCCTTTTGTGGTGTTTTTGCGAATTCGTGCCCGAGGTCGAAAGGCCTACCACCAGCAACACCTGAGGTGGTTGAGAGTTTCAAGCTCAGCATGTCTCAGATTCTGCGCAGAGGGCTACATATACATTTTTTTTTTTGGCTGCTTCTCAAACATACTGTGGATGGACAGAATCCTGCACCAGTTGGTGGGCGGCTTATCCCAGTATTGATGGGGTTTCATCCATCCCAACCGGTGCAGGATTTTGTTTATCCGGGATACCCGCCCCAATGCCCAGTTTGTAGAACCACCAACAACATGTGCGGTCCACCGTGTCCGCAGTTTCGAGCCAGTCGCAACATTTTTACAGTATCTTTGCCTCTGACTGTCTGACGCAGGGTTGTGGGAATGCGGGGCTGCACAGTTTCCACTTGGACTTCTGTGAGGCCCGGTGTTAGTATCACGAAAGTGTGGTCAAAATCCCCTAACTTTGTTAAAGAAAAGTTGTTCTACACTCTGGGATTACATCCGCAAGGATTGATTCCCCATTCTCTTCACCAAAAAAACCACCCATTCATCTTCCCAGTGAAAGGGGCCGGAGCAAAGAGGAATCGGACAAAGGCGTTTTAAAGGACCCCAACAAAAGACTTGCTGGTGCTAGGGAATGAGGGAATGAACCCAGGGGTCCCTTTGAAGGACACCAGGGGACGGTTTACAGGGATCATTCCATGTCTCGTTCCCTGCATCTCTTGCACCGATCGCAAGGATTAGCGCCGCCCGATTTTTCTCATTCCTCGGATCGGGGGAACTCCGTCTTCCGACCCGAGGTCTCGCCAGGGTACTTGGTGTGGAAAGCAAGAAAGCCCGCCGCCCAGCGAGAACTCGAAGAGAGGGACAGGGGTCTTCCTTGCCAAGGGGCGCCCCTTGGGCTTTGCTTCCATTTGGTGAAATGAGAATTTGTTTTGTTTTGCCTTGTGGGTTTTAAAAGGGAACCGATTTCACTACTGGACATTTTTTTCAAGCTTTTTTGACCAGGGTGACTCTTTCCACCCATGAAAAAGGAGTTCAAGGCCAGGTTTTCAGCTTCGCATTCAGGAGTTCTTCCTCTTTCGCGTTGTGAAGCAGACGATTGAGGCGCGCATCATGGGTTCTGGGTTGCAGGCTTGGCAAGATTGTTGGAACAAGCAGACCCTTGGTTTTCTTGGAGAGTGGGACGCCCTGTGGGCCCTGGTTTTACAGCGTTTTCAGCTTTTTCTTTTTTCATCTCAAGCCGCTGCAACCAGCGTTTTTTTGAGAAACACCTGGTTGATAAATAGGGGCCCCTATAGCGTCCCTTTCTGTTTGCTTGAGGGAAAAGAACCCGACAGGAGGTTATGTTGCATGGGAACCCCGCATTGCGGATCCGAGTGGTGGCATCGACAAAAGTGATCCGAATTCGCACAAGTCATGGGGGCTTTGGGGCTTGGGGGGGAGGGAGGGGGGGGGGGGAGCCGAAATAAGCCCTAAATACAGCCTTAAGGGCGGTATTTAGAGCTTATTTGGACTCCCTCCCTCCCCCCCAAGCCCCCATGAAAAAGGGGACACCATGTATTAATTATTCAACCCGGGGTTTAGTTGGGGTCAAAGAAACCACACCACCTTTTGGTGGGGTCCCCATATTGGTCAACGGGCGAAAATGAACCAGCGGTTTCACCATGTTTCAACAGTTGGTGGCCCATTTTCAAGAAGAAGTGGCGTGGGCTTGTGTCAAAATAGGGATGCTCCCGAAAACTGGCGGTTTCCTTTTCCCACCCTTTCAAGGACTTCATCCCAGGGCTTTTGCTTTTGAAGTCAACCGGCTTTATTTTCCCCCCCTTCTCAAAAAAGAAAAGAAAAAACGAGAGGAAAGAAAACAACGTATCCTGCCTGGACCCCCCGCACAGGTGTTTCATCCAACCGAACCATCCAACTGGCGGTTTGCTTGTTTTGTTTTTTCCCCACCCAAACGATTCCTTGAGACAGAGTGTCTTGTATTGGTTCCCGCCGGTTTCTCTTTGGAACTCCAAAAAGCTGACGTGGTTTGGACTATTTTCCTTTGAAAGAGATCCTCTGGTGGGTCCCATGACAAAGTGGACAGGAGTTTGGGTCTACTTTTCCCATTCTTTCCAGGGATCCGAATCTTTTCAGGAAACCATCAAAACCCCCGGAGAAACAGCGATGTTGTTTTTTTTTGGCAAAGAACGATGCTTGAAAAGAATGGACACGGAATCCCTTTTTGGGGGATGGTTCTCCTACTCGAATAGAACACAGAACAAAGTTGGTACCCTTTTTCTAACCTCTCTACTAGACCTAGTTGCTGGAGGATCCTCTGGTTCCATGGCAAAGCGAACAGGAGGCTACCCTTCACACCCACTTCACGGCACGGCATAGTCTTATTCGCAGCCTTCGAGAGGCCTACGTAGAGAAGAAGCTGGACTTGAGCAGCGTCGTACAGGACGTCTATGGGGGTGGCTTAAAAAGCAACCGCCCGTCTCAGCTTGGTTCAAAGGGAAAACACGACAACCACATTTTTTTGGGGACCATATCCCTATTTTGAGCTGGTTGACGTGTTGCTAAAGAGGGGCGATTGTAAGCAACGTTTCGGCTGGCTTTCAAATTTGCCTGCGAATTTAAACCCTCAAACGTGGTGAGTGGCCACGAATCCCGCATGTATTTCTGATGTCCACCAAGTATCCCCAATTTTGAAACATGTTTGCACATGCATAATGTATTTATATATATATATATGCACTAAATGTACATATATACATATATATATATATATTATACACATATGTATATGTACACATAAACCAGAGCGGCCTTGCGCCCTCCTGCCCCCTCGCCGTCAAACCCACGACGTGAAGGTTTAAAGTGCGGGAGAGGCAGACATGCGTGTAGTTTCGATGTTTTTCGGTTGCGCAAGTACATGTCGCGACTTCCAAATTCGAGTTTTCGGAGTCATCCGGCGGCATCAACGTTCTTCATACGAACCGACTACGATTCTGCTTTTGACGGTCTTTGTTGACTCCGGCAGCACCGCGTGAGTCCGAAGACACACGCACACACACACACATATCTATAGATACGATTAATACATACATACGTACGTACGTACGTACGTACATACATACATACATACATACATACCGTATATATATATATATCTATATATATATATATTCATTATACAATACTATATATATATAGTATAGATGTAGCACAGATAAATGCATGCGTGGAATAACGTGTAAAGAGATGCTTAGAGGCTGCTCAGTTTCACTGAAACCTTGCCAACATGAGAGGCAAGAAAGCCCGAAAGCGAGCAGAACTTGTTCGTGGGAACGAACCCACATATTGACCAACCGGATGAGCGCTGGAAGAAAGCACATCCTTGTTCGCGGACCAAAAGTACTTGTCAAACTTGCCCGCGAGCTAAAGTGCTCGACACCCTCAGCAGCACCAGTGCTTGAATAGAACGGATCACTCTTCCGCTGACGAGAGTAGATGTCTAAAGCGGCTGACATCCCCAGCGTCAGTGCTTTGGTGAAGGCCATGATCGTCCGCTTTCTAAAGTAGATGTCGCTCTCGTCCGCAGAGTGGCCGACCCCCCCAGCATCACCAGTGCTTTATCAGAGGAAAACTATCCCCTTACTAAAAGTCGATGTCGTGATGGTCCGTTAGCGCCAACTAAAAGTAGATGTCGCGGTATCCAAACTCGACTTTTGAGAGTCGCTCGGCGGCGTCCAAATCTTTCCAGAGCGAATGAGGAAAGTTGCATTTCTCGGGCTCGACATGACTAGGTCTTCTTTGGACGGACTTTGTTGACAGCGGTGGACACCCTGGGCATCAGTGTTTCGATGAAGGAAGTGATTTTCTGCTTGCTAAAAGTTGCAGTCGCTGTGGTCCCGGAAGCAAGCCAGCATCACCAGTGCTGAATGCAAGGAAATGATTTGTGCGGACTAAAGGTAGATGTGGATCGTAAACAATATACATATTTATAGGCATATATACATATATATATATATATATATTTCATACCTTGCTCTGTACCTTCCCCGCATGTGGTAGACAGGGTTGCTCGGCCACTTACTGTCACGTTCGTGGCCTTGGTCCTGTCATCGCCCTCCACTCAAATAGTCTTCCCATGTGGATGTCAGAACTCTACTCAACTCGGGGCCGGGCGCATTAATGTCATCTCCGGGGCTTTGAGTCGAGTAGAGTTTTGACATTTCCTGGCTGCGAGGTCAAAATTCTCTATTCGACTGAGCGCCACGTAGACTAACAGTAGCGGGATTGCTCCCCTCCAAACGGCATGCTAAAAAACGACCGCCGGTCAAACATTCCGACGGCAAAACAAAGCCTACCAGTTGAGTAGAGTTCTCACATGGCTGCGGGTTAAAACCAAGGGTACCATTTTTGGGTAGGTGAATTCACCTCCATATTTTAGAGCCTATTTCGTTGGGATTTGGTCCCGTTCACTGGGGGCTACCCGATTTGGGTTTTGACCCATGGCCACATCCTGCGACTTCTCGGGGCCGAGGTCCGAAGGGTCCACTCTAGATTATAGACGTAGATTCCACACACATTTTGCAGATGAACAACACACATGTCTGCAGATTTCGTTTAGATCGTATATAGATTGTCTAGATAAGTTGTAGCTTATTCATATGCTTATACTGGTGTGTATATATATATACACATACATGCGTATATGTACATATACACATATGTATATATAAATGTATACATATTATATATATATATATATGTATATATATATATATATCTATATACATACATATGTATTC